GATGCGCGCATCTCTCTCCCCCCCCCCCCCCGGGTTGAAGTTACTCAAGAAACTTGTGAAGTTCTTGCTCTTTCCTCCTTCAGGGCTGAAGCGTCTGCACCAGAGCTCCCCAAGCGCTCAGAGCCAGAAAGAGATCTGTTATTTCCAACAGAGCAGGGATCTTATCTTCCCAAATCACTGCTTGCATTCGAGCTTTCTGGCAGGAGAATGACTCTGGGCATCTGCAGAGCGCATTCCCTCCCCAACAACTGCCGCTGCCCCCCCTTCAGCGGTCTCCCCCCCCCCTGTGCAGAACCCGGAGAAGTTGCGGAACTAAAGAAGCGTCTCTTCGCCGTGCTGTGCCTGAGTGGAAAGTGCCGCCGGCGCCTTCCCCTCCTCGCCCTCGCTTCCAGTCCCACGTCCCGGTCCTTACCTCTCCCCCAGCCTGCTCCTGCTCAGCCCCCTCTCACTCCATGGCGGCAGGAGTTCGAGCCACTGGAGAGGGGGGCGCCGCGTCTCCTGCAGCTTCCCCGGGTCGGGCACTCATTTGGCTGGCGCGGCTCCTGCCGTTCCCCGATGGATGCAGGAGGGCGGCGGCGGGTGGCTGGATGGACGAGCCTCGGGCCGACCGGAGCGCATTAGGGCTCTTGCAGGCGGCGCCGCTCCGCCAGAGGGAGGAGACCGCGACGTCAGCGAGGGAGGCAGCCGGGGAAGTGAAGAGGGCGAGCAGCCCCTGAAGGCCCAGCCTCCCACAAGCCGAGGAGGATAAACGCCTTTGAACTTGGTTTTCCCGCCACGGGGAGGAGAGCCTGCCCGCCGGCATGTTTTGGAGTTGCGGCGTTGTGCTCCGACTCAGCCCTTCAGGTTTCCTCGCCTTTCCTGAAGCTTTCTACAAAGAAGAGAGTTTCTTCCTGCAGTGACCGCGTTCCCTGCACTGTGTCCCGCTTGCTAACCTTTCCAGGCCTGCAGAGGGATAAATGTGTTGTTGAGAGCAACCGGTTTTTCGTCCTGAATAGGGGTTGAAGAAGTGCTTCAGAATGACAAGGCTTCAGTGCCCCTATCACCCACATTAGCCTGCTCTGTTCCCTTGGTTCCTACTTTCCCCCCATATTCATGTATTTTTCATCTGGGTCTAGGGTTGCCAGCTCCAGGTTGGGAAATTCCAGGAGATTTGGGGATGGAGTCTGGAGAGGGCAGGGTTTGAGGAACATAAGAGAAGCCACTGTTGGATCAGGCCAATGGCCCATCCAGTCCAACACTCTCATACAGTGGCCAAAAATACCAGGCGCCATTAGGAGATCCAGCAGTGGGGCCAGGACACTAGAAGCCCTCCCACTGTCCCCCCCCCAAGCACCAAAAATACAGAGCATCATTTGCCCCAGACTGAGAGCTCTTATTTATACCTTGTGGCTAATAGCCACTGATGGACCTGTGCTCCATTTTTTTTATCCAAATTGAAGCCAAATTGAAACCCTCTTGAAGCCATTCATTCTTGTAGTTGCCACCACCTCCTGCGGAAGTGAATTCCATGTGTTAATCACTCTCTGGGTGAAGAAGTACTTCCTTTTATCCATTCTAACCCAACTGCTCAGCAATTTCATGGAGTGCCCACGAGTTCTTGTATTGTGAGAAAGGGAGAAAAGTACTCCTTTCTCTGCCTCCTCAATCCCATGCATAATCTTATGAACCTCGATCATGTCACCCCTCAGCTGTCATTTCTCCAAGCTAAAGAGCCCCAGAGGCTTTAACCTTAATTCATAGGGCGGGAATGTCAGCAGTTTACCCTTGGAAGCTGCCGTTTCCTCCAGGGGAAATGTTCTTAATTGTCTGGAGAGCTATTGTAGTTCTGGGAGTTGGGAACCCTGGCAACTGTTCAAAGATCAAGATTATCTGGGGGTGGTGATCCTGTTGTTAATCAATGTCATGTAGCTTATCTCCATTAAAATCAATATAAGCTGCACAGCAGAGAATGGGCCCAGTCTTGTTTGTTCAGAAGTAACTACTATTAAATTCAGTTGGATTTCATGGCCGCCGCTTCCTTGTCCCAAACCGCCCAGTTTCTCTCTGCCCCAGAGAACTTTTTGGACACGTAAGCTAGGGTGCATAGCTTTCCATCACCTCCCTTTTGCAAAATGCCCCCCCCCCCCCGTTGCAACATTGGAGGCATCCACCTGGACTATAAATTTGTCCTTCTCGTTGGGATGGTGGAGGATGGGCTTGGAGGTGAAAATGGCCTTCAGGTTTTCAAAAGCTCGCTGACAGTCAGGGGACCAGTCCAGTTTACTCCCCCTGTTTGTGGCATCGGGCCCCTTTCCCTTAGTCTCTAGCAGTTTTGTCAAAGTTAGGGACACCTGCGTAAATTGGGGATGAAAGCGTGATAAAAGTTTAAGAATCCTAAGAAACACTGAAGCTGGTGCCTGGTTTTTGTGGGCTCCCACCCCAACACATCCTTGACTTTCTTAGGGTCCATCCCCAACCCTTGTTGGGAGAGCGTGGTGATGTGCGGCGCGGCAGAGCCTCCAAGGACAGTAGCCGGAGCCGCAGCCGACACAGAGCTACGCGCCAGAACGAGGCCTGCCGGAGGAAGCTACCCAGAAAAGACCATCTCCAGAAAAAAGGGCACCAGAAGGACGCCGATACCTGAAGCCGCTAGAGGAAGCCAGAAGAACAACAAGCCCTGGGTGCTAGTAGGCAGACACCACCCATCAACAATGTGGCCCTAGTTAGGGAATTTGGTAGATATCTGTAAACCGCTCAGAGACCTGCCCAAAAAGGTTAGAGCGGTATATAAATTGAATGTAAATAAATAAATAAAATAATAAATAATCTGATAGCCCAAGAAGTCTATCTCAGTCTTATGGAACTCACACTTAGATAGTTTGGTGTACAATTGGTTATCATAGAGAGCCATCAGGACCTCCCTCACCAATTTCACATGTGAGTCCAAGTCTTGGGAATACACCAACACATCATCCAAATAACAAACTACTCCTTTGAACAAGTGCCTATGCAAGACTTCGTTGATTAAGTTCATGAACACGCCAGGGACTCCGGCCAGCCCAAAGGGCATAACCAAATATCCTAATTGCCCCAGAGGGGTGTTAAACACAGACTTATGCTCATCCCCCTCTCGGATTTGAACTTGGAAATAGGCATCTTGCATATCCAATTTAGTAAAGATTTTTCCCTTGGCAGCCTCCCCCAACAAGTCTTTGATGAGGGGTAAAGGGTAAGCGTTTGACATCGACACCACATTCAAACCCCTACAGTCAGTGCACAACCTGAGCCCTCCGTCTTTCTTTTCTGGAAAAGGACGGGAGCTGAAAAAGGGGAGGTGGCTAGCCAAATAAACCCACGCTCGAGGTTTTTATCAATGAACCGTTGTAATTCCTCTCTCTCGGCAGGGTTCATGGCATACAGTTTCCCTTTCGCATTTTATACCCCTCTAGGATCTCAATGGCACAGTCAGTTTTCCGATGAGGGGGGAGCTCATCGGTCTCCCTTTCTTCAAACACCCTCCCCAAGTCTTAATACATCCAGCGAAGGTGATGAACCTCAGGTGCAGGGAAACAACCAGGACCTGTTGTGAAGGGCGCCGACCAACAGGTCCGCAACTCACCGGCGCAGGAAGCAGTGAGAGATGGCACATCTTTATTCTTTTTGATTGTGACTATAATAAACCCGGGGGGACCCAACTGAGGGTACGAGCCCTCTTAGACTCTGGTTGCTCTTGCGACCTGATCAGCCCTTCTTTAGTTACAGGGCTAGGGGCTGGGATTGTGAAACTAGATGACCCCATGGTTTTTACTCAGATGGATGGCACCACCATGCAGTCGTGCCAACACCAAACTGTAGTTTTACCAGTCGCAGTCTCGGGGCACTGGGAGCAGTGTGCTTTCATTATACACCCCACCGTCCAATTCCCCATGGGGTTAGGAATCCCGTGGCTGGCGGCCCATGACCCTTATGTACAGTGGAGTCGTGGCACAATGACGTTTCTGGACCCCCATTGTAAGGATAATCAGTGAAACCCCGAGTGAGGGGTGGAGCCACAACTCACTCTCACACGATTGTGTCTGGCTCGGGATGAGCTTAACTCAATCCCTGAGGACTATCAAGACTTGTGGGACTTCTTCTTGTGTTCCTCAGGGGCAGACCCGTCAGGCTCAGAGCCGGTACTGGTACCTGCCTCATTGCCTCTGTCTCTGTTCCCCATTCCAGAGGGGTTGTCGGGTCGGAGAGAATTGTAGTTTTGGCAATCTGTCAGGTCCTGGAGTAACCACTCTGTACACAATAGTCCTTGATCAGGTTCAGGGCTCTCGTCGGGGGGGGAGCGCTCCGGCACGGCGCTCCGGAAGCGAAGCTCTAGGGGGCGGGGTGGTCACGTGGTGAAGCCCCGCCCCCTTCTTCACCCCGCCCTCTGCTTCGATCCTCATTCCGTTGGAGAACGAGGACGAAGCAGGAGGGTAAGTAGCCTTCCCCGGCCTTGCCTTCCTCCCCCCCCTCGATCCCTCTCCCGGCCACATGCAGCGGCCGGGAAGAGAGCCCAGGGCCCTTTTTTACCCTTCCCAGCGGAGCGCGAAGGCGCTCCGCTGGGAGAAATCTCCCCCCCCCCCTCACATCTCCCCC